AGAGAGAGAGAGAGAGAGAGAGAGAGAGAGAGAGAGAGAAATGCATGCTGGCGTTTTCATATTTGGGGAGGAAGGATGTTGATGCAAGGCTCACCTCCGCTCCCCCCCACCTCAAGTTGCAGCCAACTTATGGCAACCCTACAGAGTTTTCAAGGGAAGAGCTGTTCAGAGGTGGCTTGCTGTCGCCTTCCTCTGTGTAGCAACCCCATACTTTCTTAGCTTCCGAGATCTGATGAAATCAAGCTAGCCTGGGCCAGCCAGGTGAGGGCAAAACAGAAGCAGGGGAGATTTGCCATTGTCTAGTGATGCTGAACTTGCTTGCTGGTCTCCCCTAAGCCAAGTACTAACCAGGACCGACCCTGCTTAGCGGCCGAAATCTGACGAGACTGGGTTAGCCTGGGGAAGCCAGGACACGACAGAGACAGTGGTTTGCCATTCCCTGCCTCTGCATAGCAACCCCGGACTTCCTCGCTGGCCTCCCATCCGAGTACTGACCAGGACTGACCCTGCTTCGCTTCCGAGATCTGACAAAATCAAGCTAGCCTGGGCCATCCAGGTCAGGACAAGTCTCACCTTTAAGGGATAGATTAAGGTGGGTCACCGCTTTGGTCTGAAGCAGCAGAACAGAGTCTGAGTTCAGGGGCACCTTTAAGACCAACCAAGTTTTATTCAAGGTATCTTTCATGTGCAAGCACACTTCTTCAGAAAGTTGCCAGGATGGGCCAATCAGAGTCAAGACAGAGAGAGAGAAACAAAAATGGAAACTACCAGTCCATACATATCGGTACAGGGTGAGCAGTAAATTATCATTCAGCCCCAATGCTGTATGATAATTTACTGCTCACCATCTACCTATATGTAGGGACTGGTAGTTTCCATTTTTGTTTCTCTCTCTGTCTTGACTCTTAATTGGCCCATCCTGGCAACTAAGCCCCCCATATGTAATGGTTGAGGAAACTCTTGTTTCACTGTATCTGAAGAAATGAGCTTGCACACGAAAGGTTATATCTTGAATGAAACTTGGTTGGTCTTAAAGGCGCTGCTGGAGATATTTACAGGATATTTATTCTTTAAAGGTAAAGGTAAAGGTTCCCTTGCTCGAAAACCAGTCGAATCCGACTCTAGGGTTGTGGTGCTCATCTCCGTTTCAAAGCCGAAGAGCCAGCGCTGTCCGAAGACGTTTCCGTGGTCATGTGGCCGGCATGACTAAACACCAAGGCGCATGGAACGCTGTTACCTTCCCACCGAAGTGGTACCTATTTATCTACTTGCAATTTCTTGCTTTCGAACTGCTAGGATATTTATTCCAAATGCCAGACTTTACAGGATATTTATTCTCATTTTACAGCTGGAGAAGTGAAGCCCTTGCACCTTCCACATGACCTTTTAGCTATACACGTGTTTAAGAGCGTACACAGATTTACGTAAAAAAATAGCTGCATGGTCAAACACAAGCCGGAGAGCACCTGGCAAAACTGTGAAGCTTCTTAGGCACCTCAGAGCCTCCAACGTGCAGGTTTTGATCCATTTCTTTGCATGCCTTTTAACAACACTAGTAGATAAACGTCATGTGAATTTTTCTAGTCTGAATTTTTCTTCTTGAAAGGCTACCTAGTAAGTTTACAGTTGAGCCTTTGATCCAGGTCAAAGACAGCAATCCCCCCCCCTTTCTGTTCCCACCCCAAACTAAGCAACTGTTCCATGTGCTGAAACTCTAGTGGCCAAACAGC